TTAATGCTCATGTGAAATAAATAACATTCTTTCATTAAAAAACGCTACGAATTAATTCCAACACCTAATAATTTTTTTCTGAATATATATACAATACATTCTGTGATAGATATTTGTCGTATTATTTATATTGCCAATCATTACCAATACAATTAATTTGGCTTTTTTTATTATATATTATAAAAAGTGCCAAATTAATTATATTGATAATGATGTTGTTTTATAAAATACGAATTAAAAAATGTATAATATTTAAGAATAACAGGTGAAAGCATATATATATATATATATATATATATCCGTGATAATTATTGCATAATTTTGTACAATATATTCAAGTATCCATTACGTTACTTTATAATGATTTTGAAAATTTCGACTTCCTTCAAGCCATTAGCAAAGGGAAATAAAATAAAAAATAAAAAATAAAATTAAATACAATATAATTAAATTGAATATTAATTATCATTTGTTATTAATAGTAATTTTTCCTGTGTCGTTTTACGATAATACAATAATACGGATAATACACTTAGTAGTAAAATGTTTGCAAATAGCCTACATATTGTATCCTATGTAAAAGCAATATGCATTAAATTTCTACAGTACGTGCTTTAACTGTGATTGTAATTCGAATATGGTTTGACCATGGTTGGATCATCATTGGCTCAACGGATATCGTAAATAATGACGGTGCAACTATTATATTTCATCATTATCAGATTTCTTAGTCTATGTATGTATTCATGACCGCTAACAAAAAATTTATCTTAAATTTAATCTTACCTCTCCAAAAACAACTACAGTTGTAAATGCTTGTAATAAAATGTTTATTATATTATTATTTAAATAGAAACGTGCGTAATTCGTAATGAAAAATATTATCCAACAAATGTAGAAATACTCTTAAGAAAAGAAATTCTTTTATATAGAAATAATGCTATCGAGGAGCTACTGAAATTAAACATTTGATTCTTGTTTGATGCTGCTAAATAGAAATTCCCAACATTCCGTAATCCTCTTCAACTATTAATTTGATCGTGTCGTAGAGGGAATGTGCTAACAATGAAACTTACTGAAATTGAAATTGCATTTGACTTATAAAGTGACAATTGCCACGTTAATTGTTACGTAACATTATTTTGATAATTGAGTTATCAATTACAATGGTGTTTGGAAATTATTATTACATTTCTTAAAAATTCTTTACGAGTAAGAAATCTGATCATTAAAATAAAACTATTGTATTTTTTTTAAAGCAGTGAAAAGTAAAGATAAAAGTGTCAAAACTACATATTTATTTATTCATTTATGTTTGTTTATTTATATTTATGTGACTAACTACGATTGGAACACGTGTCAGGAAGACACGAATGATTCATAGAAGATGATAAAATAGCGATACCACTGACATTGAAAATTGTTAATTACTTTCCTGTTTGTTATCTTCGGCAATATACCTAATTGTCGCAGTACTTATGTCAATTATAATTTAAATGGTCATTTATCTGCCATTTTCGTTCAAGGAACAAAATGTTAATTTTCTGTTGCACAACGCTTCTCATTAAACTAATTTATTGCTACATAATTTATATAACATTGTAACAATAAATCAAATTATTTGCATACATAATATACATAAAATAAACAGACCTTAGTACCTACGCGTTGCAGATAATTATACGGTAAATTCAATATATGGCACTAATAAGTCATACAATTTATCTGTCTAACTCGATTGCTTCAATTTTTTGCGTCATTCTATTGTCAGTAAACCAAAATGTAGTTATAATGTAATATTTCGTAGGTAAATAATTGCTTTCTATAACTACTAAGAAAGTGTTATTAATTTTCATAGTTTATATTATTGTAACTGTATATTTGTATTTTTGTCACAATGTTTTGTTTATAATTTATTAAAAAGAGGAAACTCTTTGTAAGTCCTAGCGAAAATAAAAATAGGAGCGTCGAATTTAAGGAAAAAGTAATAGAAACATCTTGGAAGCAAAAATTGAGACAACCGAACATAAAAGAAATATCTTTTTTACACTTTGTTCCAATTTTCACTTTTTAGAAATTTCGTTTACGCTTCTGTCACTCTCCTCTTACATTCGACTTACATTCTAATTATTATTTTCTCCAGAGAGATGACATTAATATTACCAATCATAGACATATTAAGTATACACATGTTGATTATAACATTTTTTCCTACTGTTATTATTTTAGACCATGGATTCCACTTCACTTGCTAAACATTGTGGACATAAGTAGATAAATTGATTGTTTATAAAACAATTCTTTGTGTATTCTTACATATCAATAAATATATCAATAAACTTATAATCTCATACAAAAGTGACATTGGATCATTTTATTTTCCATTTTTTTAATATGTTTTTACGAAAGTAAAAAACATGTACTCTTAAGCCATATTAGATACATACGTAAATGCGTATTTTCTTAAAATCTTAATCTTTTTAAAATCACTGTATTTCTATAAATATTTGGAAATGTCACATTTTTGGAAATGTCATATGTTTAGAAATATTTCCTTTTTTGAACCTGATCATTAATTTTTAATTTTGGACTTACAATCAGTAAAAAATTGGAAAACATTAGAAAGCTTAAGTAGGTAGGATATGCAAAGTCTGTTATTTTAATTTATTAAAATTAATTGCATTATTCCACGTAAATAGCACGTAAATTATATGCAAATCAATATAATACGAGCCTAACATACAAGTAATGTAAAAACTTTACACTGGAAACTTAATTTTCGACGTACTCTGCTTTTATTAAGTAAGTATATTCTTAGGCTGGTTGAATTACTTTGAGCCTTTACACGCGGTGCGAATTTAGGATTGTTCATCTCTTTCAAGTTTGAACTCTTTCTAACCGCTGTAAGTAGAAACAGCACTCCAGTATATACATTTGCGATTTTTCTTTACTATAATCTGGAATTTTATTTCTGACATATGCTAAGGCAGAATGTGCAGATTAATTTAAACATTAAGAAGAATATATTTAAATTTATCACATACGATACGTGAGATAAATAAAAAGGTACGTAAAAAAATCACTCATCATTTATCTTTAAACACTCATCATTTAATTTACCATTATATATAGAAAAGAGAGTTCATAAAAATTTTGTCGTTAAATGAGCTTGTATTAAATCATAAATAAAGAAGTATGAGTAAAGTTATTTTATAATTAGGAAGGCGTAATTTGCCTACAAAATAAGTGGTCTATAGCTCTATTTGTGCATGATCGTATTGCACAAATGACTATATGCCATTTTGTGCACTGAACCATGTATTGCGCGCGCGTACACGTGTCACATTGCGCATATGGTCATATATGATACATATGAGGAACACATTTTGGATATAATACATATTGGACATGTAAAATAAAAAAATTATACTCTCAACTTATACGCATGTATTTATGATTGCTTATTAATAAAATAATTATTTTTACATGTATTACATAAGCGATTCTGTATCTATATCTTTAATGATGACAAATATGATGAAATATATAATAAACGCAATAATATCTAATTTTTTGACAGTTCTAATCTTCTGTTCGGTTTTTGTAACATTTTTTTTAGCATGTTTATAATACAACAATTTCTATCTATTAGATAAAACAGCAGACTATGTTCGGTTATTATTGGAGTCTACGAACATAGTGTATATGCAATACTGCACATATGACAGCAATGTGCATAAGCGCAACACGATCGTCTACACGACACGATTATATGCACAAAGTTATACGTGTATAAGAGGTTTGAGATGCTTTCCAGCAAGAGACACAGATGCACAGTGTAACACAGTAAATCATTACATTTATATTGTTTGTTAATGTTAAACGAAGATGATCATTGTGACATGTCACATTGTGTCATTTGCTGGAAAGCACTATTAGTGTGCAACGTGACACATACGCATATGGTCGTGTCCAATATGCTGTGCACAATACAATCGTGCATACAATGTGTTGTGTGCGTTATAGTTGTGTGTGTGATGTACTGTATGCAATATAATTATATGCAAACGAAGCTGTAGGTAATTATTTTATAGGCAAACAGGAGCCTCCTTTTATAATTCCAAAATGATAAATCTATCGTCAATATCTATCGTTGACATAAACGGGTGACCAAAACTTAGAGAACTTGAATATTCGGATGTGTGGTTTCAACAGGATGGAGCTACGGCTCATACGGCAAGAAGGACAATGGACGTTTTAAGGGAAATGTTTCCAGGACGCGTAATCTCGTTACGTGGAGACGTTGGGTGGCCTGCGCGTTCACCCGATCTTGCCCCATGCGACTTTTTCCTTTGGGGCTACCTGAAAGCAAAGGTTTTTCAACACCACCCCCGAACCATTGACGAATTGAAAGCAGCAATACGCCAAGAAATTACAGGAATATCGCTTCAAATTATTGCTCGAGTGATGGAAACTTTTAGAAATCAGCTTCGAATGTGTATCGAAAAAAATGGTCGCCACTTGGACTTTGTAATTTTCAAAACTCAATAAAAACAAATGGCATAGCATAAATTTTCAGTTAATAAAAATAAAATCTAAATAGCATTTACAATGGCGTTTTTATTAAAGATTAAAATGTGGGAGATCATTTTGCCGGATCCTGTATTCGAAAAATATAACTCATTTATTTTTTTGTCGTTCAGATTACATATCCTATCAAACGCAAATATATTTGGTTGACGATAAATAAATGTTTAGTTGTTTTATAAAGAAATTTATTTATTTTTATAGTTATTTAAAAATAATAAATAAATTGAAATTAAAAGACACACGTATCGCAGTTAAAAGTTATACTTGTATCAAATTAATGAGATATATATATATAATTATGTCAAATTAATAATATATATCGTAAAAAAACAATATTTTATTTTTTCATTTCAAGAAACAAATATTACAACTATATTGTTTAATTAACAAACGTTGAAATTACATGTTGCTTATTTCATTCTATTATTTCGATGTACTTAATCAAACTTACTGACAGTAAGTATATTAAGGACTTTGTGTAAATCTTGTATTATATATTATGCATTAATTGTTAGATAATATAATAACTGTACAGCGTCGATATTTTACAGTGAGTTGCGAGCTTATTACATAGACGAGTACTTTGCTAATCTTCTAGATGCAGCGGAATTTGCAGCTGCAGCGGAAGCAGCACCAATACTATCACCAATGCCTTTATAATTGCCTATAGGACGTGGCGGTATTATACGGCTAGGAACAATCGGTGCTGGATTCGCAACATTCGGCCATATATTTCCATGCGTGATACGATGTAATATAGAATATTCAGGAATATTCATACGTTGATTAAAATTAGTAAGTAAGTTTTCAATATACGTTTTGAAGCCATTCAAAGTACCAGTTGCTGATGTCACAAAATTTTGAGGTAACTCACGAATGGGTATACCTGCAAATTCTGAAATACCGTTTTCGTGAAACAGTCTTGATACAATTCCTCCATGTATTATCTGTAAAAATTGTGCAAAATATTGTTAACAAATACAGCACTACATCAGAAAATCTATAAAAATATATATGATAGATGAGTCATTAAATAACTTCAAGTTTACTTTCAAAAATCTCAAGGTGGAATATATTAAGATTACTCATTAGTTCACTTATATAAGTGTTCATAAAAAAGCATTTAACGTTTATAGATAGTACATATTATACTGACAATGAGTAAAAAAAAATTATTAAGGCTTTTTTATTCTGTATAATGTGTACTGCCATATAAATCCTGAATGTTTTTTTGTAAAGTCTGTATATGTATATTTAGCATAAATTTTCTGCATATGATATTACGAACAATAATGTTCTTTTCTATTTAATATAGTTTTACAATCAACGAACAAATCGCTGTTATTATATTTTACATGATTTAAATTAAATTTAAATGTATTGAATATGTAACTTTAATTTATAATATTAATTTAATTTACAATTAATTTGTGTATTTTAAAATATTGTTTTAGACGTGATATATTTACGTACATTTGCAGAAATGAGTGTCAGGAACATCGCAGAAATGATGTGACTTCGAGCCATGATAAGAAATTGGACTCGAATAATGTGTAAATGCGAATGACTTTAGAACTGAATTGTTAATTGCACACAACTAATTTTTTTTTGTTTTAGAATACCCTTTTATATGCAGAAATGATGTATTTCTTTGCGCAAAATCCACGTCTCGACGAATCTTCAAACATTGATATGTCTCGTTTTGGCAATTATTGGTTTTGAATATGTCGCACGATTACGATTGCAGTACCAATGCGATAATATAAGCAAGATTGTCTTAATCGGTCTCACGTACGATGATCTCATATTTCGGCGTGTCCTTGAAATACGTATGAACGAAATGCAATCGAATTGAATTTAAGTAAGTTGATATATGTAAACTAAACATACCCGAATAAAAGGGAGAGAGAGAAATTCAAAAATTTAATAATAATATACATACATAATATAATTTTCGTAATTAATAGCTTTGTAAATAATTATTTATTTAATATACTTATTAATTCATTTTAAAAGAAATTGAATAAAATGGTTATAAGTTCTTCAGTGAACAATTACAGACGACGATATATTGTATTAAGAAACGTAAAGAGAGAGATAATGATTTTTAAATAATTTTTTTATTTTGGAAAGCACACCAAACAAAGTCTATGAAATTTTGATATTTAAATCGACAATACAATCTCATGACGCATATAACATACGGAAATTATTACAAATTTTAATTAAGATGAAATTACTAACTAAATTAAATATGTTGTCTTTTCTCTCTCTCTCTCTCTCTCTCTCTGTGCAATATTACAAGCATGAAATACATACATGCTTTATCGTGTTGATCAAGTGTAAAGAAACATTTCTCTTCTTCTCTTCATTTAATTTTAAATTAAAATAAATTAGAAATATAACACATATTTGTAGCGGCTCATAAATAGATACAATCTTTTATCATATTATACAAAGTTATTTATCTTTTATTAATTCGTCTTAATTATTTTAACAAAGATTGCTCATAGAAAATCATAGAGAAACAGCTTAATGTTGTTTTATGCAAATTTTATATTATTCTTGATATTTAATGTATAGGATATTTAATATTGCAAATTAAGAAAATGTCTAAAATGAAATTTTTATCAAGATAAAATTTAATCAAAAAGAAATCTATGAAATTTTTTTAGCGTTCTATGTTTCTTTAATATAATTTCTCGTATTATATCTTTTTGTTACCAACGCCATTTTATATATTTTAATATATTATTGTTTGAATACGTATAGAAAATAATTACGTCATTATAAAAAATTATAAGTAATAATTAATTATTACAAGGATGCAAGATATAATGATGTATGTGTATTAGGTGTTAAGTAATTTTTACAGAGCTACGCATTAATATGTGAGGATCTGTATGCGACGTTGCATTACGGAAATATCGAAATTCGTTTAGTCTCAAACTGCATTTGTATCATTGTCATCGAATACCTCAGTATTGTTATCGTGATAACAAGGCCATAAATGAAGGCAATAATGTGGAAAATGTCGAAATGCAACAAATGACAATCAATAGTCGAACAAAAATAATTTGATGACATGAATAACTTCTACTGTGGCTGTAAAGTCACATTAATTTGGAATCAACGATTTAATCGATTTGTTTATTCATTTTTAGTATCTTCGAGAGTATTGTTTGTATAATACTATACTTATTCGCGTTTAGCAATTAATTATTGGGAAAAAATACTTTAAATACATATATTGTTTTGTTCTTTTTATGTATTTTTTTCTATCCTAAAGTATTAATATTATTAAGAATATATTCGACAAATTTTTAATCATGTATAAATACTTTTTTAAATTGAACAACAAATAATATCTATTATTTATAGCGTTTCTAAATCATTAAGCCTATTTTTCTTATTTTATTTATTATATAACAAAATTATTAACATAATTAATTATAACATAATTAATTTCGAAATATTTCATAGTATTTACTTATTCTCAAAGAGATTTATTAATCACAAATAAATTATTGAGATAAAAAAAAATAAACGTTTAAGATATATTAATAAATTTTGTTATATGAATAAAATGACAAATATAAGCTCGTTTGTAATGATTTATAAACGCTGGTTAATAACGGAATATTATTTATCATTCACAAGGTAAATAGGTTTATTTTCCGCTAATGTTTTGATACGTCCTGTATCTAAATATTGAATTGATAAAACGTTCACGTGGATGTGCAGACTCGTGATTTTTTTATCTCGCTTACAACGAGGCACGTAAAGTTAACGAGCAATTCCGTAGAACACATCGGCGTATTTTTCTCGGTGCACGCTCACAGATGCAACAAACCGCGCGGGGTAACAATGAAATACAATTAACCAGACAATTTTACGCGAGTGCGGAGAAAAACAGGAGAGGTATTTCCCGCTAGTAATCCTCATAATGGCATAACGCAACAGACCTGATGCACTTTGCTCTAATGCACTCAGCATTGCAGCCGTCAACAATGTACGGGATGGAACGCTTGAAATTAATATCTCGTTGTAGAATATCGTTGGAAATTCTGACGGACAATAATGAGAATGTTAAAATTTGTATATATTTTTTTTATATTTCCAGTCTCTAGGACGGTTTTATTCTATTTTAAACGTTATTATATAATCTAAATGTTTCTCTCTCTCTCTTTCTCTCTCTCTCTCTCTCTCTCTCTCTCTCTCTCTCTCTCTCTCTCTCTCTAATATTCGATAAAAAATGTATAATTCAAAATGTGTATTATTTGTACAGGATTGCGAAATTCATGCTTATATCTACTGTATTTCATTTTTGACAAGAAATGCGAATGTTTAAGAGAATTCAAGAGTGTTTATTAAAAATCTCAACTTAAGATAGGCTGCATGCGCGACTGCATGTTCTCTTTAACAAAACCTTCTGCAAGATAACGATATATTACGAAGAAGAATCGCAAGCATTCGTGAGTTTTTCAGCAGCGACGGCATCACCGATAATGTCTTTAATTTCACGCCTACATGCCGATAAACCTGACAATTTAAATGCAGCGTCAGACGAATGTCCGAATTTGGATTTATTCGTTCATAGTATCCAGCCAAAATGGATCGTCCCGTAATATGCAAACAATAGCATAAAAGATCTCGCAGCGTTCTGATATTGGAGATTTTCAGAATGAGAAGAAGAGGAAGATTCGATAACGTCATACAATTAATGTAAAATATTCTCGCCACAAAATGATTAAATCTTGACTATCTCTGACGGTAATTACGTTAATTCAATTTGTATTTAAATCTACATTTGATATCTACGAACCAATAATTTTTCATAATTGCTCACTCGAATAATTAAAGAGAAAGATAAAACATTTCAAAGGCAAATGCGTATATTATACGAATTCATCTTTTAGAAAGTAATTAATTATTTGTTTGACTTATTATCAAGACTTTCTTTGAACAATTATGTTCGCAAAAAATTATGTTTCTTAATTAAATTAAATATTCAATTTAAGACCTAATCTCTTGACGGTAATACTAACTTCAATATTAAATCAACTATCTTTAGAGGACTTTATATTATACTCGTCGAGAGACTCTTTTAATATTTGCCTTTCCGTTACGCCACTACGAAAGATATAGAAAGAATCTAAGAAGGGTCCTAATCTGATGGCAAAGGACGACGCCAGACGAAGATTAATGGTCCCATGATACTGGATCTCGCCAGACTTCTTCATACAATTTGTACGAAACTTGCGATCATATTTTTCAACTATAAAAAATATCTCGAATGTTGGAATATTATAGAATATTTAGCTGGGAACAATTTAGAAACTTTTTGAATAATTTTGATAATTTTCTGAGATACATTAAAATATTCGTATGTGCAGAGTCTCAACATTGTTTAATATTATATATTGTATCAAATGCTAATAATTTTTTTCTCTTCAAGTACTATAATATCAAGTACTATAATATCTTCATTACAAAAATTGATTTTCTGCATGTCGTAGGATTTGTTAGTTTTTGTTTCTACTTGAAATAACTTTTTTTGAATCTATTTTTACGGCAATAGGCAAGACGCAGTATCGTATTAAGATCGTTACGTATTGAGTGAACTGTAGTCCACGGCGGACAATTTTAGAGATATTTTTTTTAAGTTAAGTTTATTAAAATAATATTATTCATGATTTTTAAAGTCACTAGACAAAGAAGATGATTCATAATACACAATTCATAGCGAAGAAAGACTAAATTCGCTTTCTATTTTTCATATATTGTATCCGAAGTTAATACGAGTCGATACACTTATGACTCATAATATATTTATTATATTCTTTAATCTTTATATTTTTGTTGTGTGTTTCTTTTTGCTATTTTTATACATCAAATACATGAAGGATTTCTTAAAATAAGTATTGAAAAAATTAATTTTTAAATTGACATAATATAACTTCTGAAAAAATTTTTAGGTAACATTACATCATATAAAAACGTGCTCGAAATATTTCAGCTTATGGACGTGGATTAATGTGGCTCTGATAGACACACGAAGCATTCTAATGGTCATTCTTTTGTTTGTTGAAAATAAAACTGAGGCCAAATTGAAAAGAATGGTAGCCATTTGGACATCAAAATGTCGATAGTTACAAAGTTATTTCACATGGAGAATTTATTCTGAAAAAAAGACTTATTTATTGCGAACAAACTCCAGAAGTAAAAACACGTAACAAAAGTCTAATTATAATTAATTTTAAAAATATTACGTGAGAAAATTTTTATTTAACACATTTATATTAATAGATTTATTAATAGAATATAATTTGACAAATGTAGAAATTCGATGCATTAACATACTTTTACGTACATTAGAATATACAAAGCAGCATTTGTGTAATGTATGAAACATAAATCTCATTGAAGTCTGTTATTTCATCTTTCCAAATACAACATGATACATTGATGCAGAATAATAATATTTAAATAAATGCTGGCGGATATAAACTCTCAGTCTATTAAATTATTAAAATTGTATTAACGGAAACATTAGAGAGTTATAAGTGTCTTCAAATGCATTTATAAATTAGATGTAATAATTTCTTATTATTATCATATGTATATGTGTTATATGTTATTTGTTCTTTAAAAAAATGAGAATTGTTACAATTAAATATAATAGATATTAGAAGTAATTAATTTTTTCAAAATGAACAATAATGTAAATAATAATAAAATTTAATAAAATATAGATTAATTTATAGAATAGAAAATTTGACTGTATAGACATTTTCCATAATTTTTTACTCGTTCTATGGACATGATCATTTTATTTTTATCTTATCGATCTCAAGAGGTCCTACCATTGGTTTTCCATCTATTCTCGTTACGATCGCATCCGTTTTCCTATCATCTCTGTAATCTGCTTCTCGCATACATATCGCGTCGCCCAAGGCCATTATCAAACAGTTATCAATTTTAAATTTGATCTTTGTGACGCTCACCGTCTCGGACGATTTATGGCCCGTTGAGGAAAAACTACGACATTTACGCGAATTCGTGCAAAATTGGTTTTATAATAAAATATTTTTATCGTGAAATAAATATAGATCAGATGCGATATAATAGTTGATTAAATAGGAGATACAATATTCATAAGAGAAAAATATTATATTTAATCAAGACTTGTGATTTTATGCAATTGCCAGTTCATACAAAGTAAAAGATAAAATAGGCATGCAACTTTGTATTATCACAGAAAATTATACAATCTTAGAAAATACTTTTAGAAGCGAGTGATAAACTGTAATATTCTATTATAATGGAATATAACATTAAATTATAATTTATTCTGGAACAATAAAACATTATGTCGATCATTATTGCGAGTGAGTAATTGGATGCGTACGCGCGTTCAAATATAATTCAGCAAATAAAATGTGCTATGTTGCATCTCCCCTCCCCCCTATTTTTGACATTATCGCTGCGAATTGCCTGCACTTAACCAGTCGCTTATCGTTTGGCATTTGTTTTACATGGCCATCATTATTATTACAATCAGCAAGTATCATAGCTATTGTCTTTGCTTGGATGCAATTACCAGACGATTATACTCTTCTCGCTATATTGTATTTTCTCAACTTGAACGTAACTTTTAAAAATTTCCAAATCTCATCGTTTTTCATCTCTTTAATGTCATTTTTTAGATGTGATAGCTAATTTCGAACAATAGATTTATATTCAATAGACATAAATACATCGAAAATGATTATTTATACTTGTGAAAATGGTTTTCGACAGTGTAATTAGTGTATCTTTTGTTATAAATATGTATTTATTAGATATTTGAAAACATACTTATCATTTCTGCTACTCGTTTAATTGTAATTATTTCAGTGCCAGCATAATTATGTTTGCTAGAATCATCATTATTAAAACACTGAAAAGTGTCAACTTTTAATATTTTTAATATTTTATATCAATATGTACCAGAATATATATAGTTAAATATCTCGTAAACTACTAGTTTTCTAATATCTATCTTATTACATTTACATATAAAATTATTTGAGAAATCATATTATGTAAAAAAATTACATAATTTTATTTAAAAAGTGGAGGGGACTTTCGTATTTTTTGCCGTTTCCACCTAGAAAAAAACAATATGATCAAAATATTGTACGTCCCTCGAAACTGTTTCACTTTTGTTTGAAACATTTATCTTCTAAATTTTCAAATTATTGATTTGTCTCACTTTACGTGGGCTATCCATATACTGTTGATATCATACCTATTTATATCATAATTATATCTTACATGTGCATAAAGTAGATTATGGTTACTTAAGATAATATATAAACGCATAATATTCTATATCTAAATTATTAGAAAATTATGCTATATATGAGTCATCGCAATAGCGATAACAAACAATTTTTATCTTAAGTGTACACTTTTTTGTGCACATGTGTGCAAAGAAATACAAAATACGCCTTGAAAATTAAAAAAAAAAAGAAATAGATATTTTTTAAAAGTAAAAATCTTATTTCTGAGCAAACTAAATATTAGAATTATTTCTCTCATTTTTATATATTACAAAATTCTTAAAAATTATAAATATCTTTGCACATAATTAAATTTTAAAATAACTAATATATATAAAAAATTCTAATATTCTTTTTAGTTTTGTCATTAACTTTATTTATTTTCTAAAATTTCTATTTAATTTTAATTATTTTAAACAGGTTGTACCTATCTTTATCATCATGACTAATTATTTGCATTTAATCTACCATTTATTAAAATGGAGAAATCGTTACATAAATTAGAATTTTTTAAAATTTAAAATTTTTGTAAGGGCATATGTCAATTTTGTTCTCATATGCGGATAGAATGAATTTCAATAGAAGTATATAATGATGAAAAATTGAATTGAATTAAAAATGTGCTTTTTTAAGAATACAAAGCTTTATTCGATTATAATAAACTTATTATATTATTTTGATATTGTGATGAAGGAAAAATATTAATAAAAAAGGATATTTTTCACATGATTTGAAAAAATAAAGTTATCAAAATATCAAAATGAAAAGGCAATTACTTATACAAGCATAATCGAAAATAAAATAAAATTAAAAAGAATACACAAAAATAATTACTAATTACATTGTTCAATAAAATTTGTAATTTTTTTCTTGTAACACGAATATGAATTCCGACTTATTTTTGCCTGCTAAACGCATTGTACAAATTTGGTTAAAATTTCGAGAAAATTTTGAGAAAAATGGTATCAAAGAAATAAAAACGATAATTTTGAGATTCTCAATAGCTTTTTACAAATTAACAAAATACAGTATGATAAGAATATAATATTCTTGCTATGTTGTATTTTGTCAATTTTATCGCTTTCTAATTTAATAAGATCTGCTTATGCTAAGTATAAAGTTACTTACTTTCCATATAATACGATTAAGTTGAAATGTCTTTCTATCTTTATTCCTTAACCTTCTTCTAGTACAAATCAGTAACCAAAAAACAATAGAGCGAAATTATAATGCATTAACTTGTGTTAAACATTTATATATATATATATATATATATATATATATATATTATACTAAGAAGATTGTTAGCACAAAGACAGAACGAGAAAAGAATATTCTGTCGTATATACATATATGATGTAAGAACTGTATATATACTATACTATTGCTACCATACTAATTATATCATTTTCTTACGTTAATTACATACTAATTATATTATTACTAACGATAAGCATAATGTAGGAAAATATATAAGTGCGGAACGTTTAATATCTAAACAACCAGAAAATTATAGAGTAAGTCTAGTATTTAAATGAGGATTTACGCCACAGAAGTCAGAAAAAAAATAGAAAAAGAGTAATTTGCGCGCAACCACTCTGTTATATGACTTTGTGTTGTGCAAGATGTTCTAGAAATGTGAGAAGTTATTGAAATTAAGCTGTCATTTTGAAATGTATATAGAGAATAGGAGATAGAAAATATTTTTTGATCGATGACATAGTAGTTTTATTTATATATAAAGTAAATTTACAGGTATCCTTGAAGAACATATTTCTATTTCTAATATTTTATTTATTCTTTTTTAAAACATTATAATAATTTTTCAAAGAGTTATCCACTTCTTTCTCAAAATTGATTTCTTCTCAAAATTGAATAATTTACATTTTATCATATTACGAAGAAAAATAAATAAATATAGAGAATTTTAAGCTGAAATGATATTAATTGTGTACAAAGGAAAATGTCATTATGAGCCAACACAGGTTAATCATGTGTAAATTATATAAATTATTTAGAAGAATATCGTAATAAATATTTCAACTCATTATCTCGTTAAATTATTCTCTACATATTTAATGAAATCAATGATCGTTGATTCAATATTATTAAGGAAGGAAACAAAATCTTTTTCCTAACTGCAACAAGTATTGTACTTTCTAAAAATGAATCAGTAAATATTTACTGAGGCACAATAAATATTTACAGATGATTACATAAATTATAAGTGTAACACTGAAGTCATTGATTTACTTTTAGAGAGTACATCTTAAACAATAAAAAAACTTTGAAAATTTAAAGTTTACACTTTAATTTTCCTTTTGATAAAATAAAATTTTTCTTTCTATAATAATTTATTTTCAAATTAAACAATTTTTACACAAATAAAAATTTTTTTGAAAACGCTATACCTAATTATTTTTAAAAATTGTTAGAAAAATGTTTAAAATATGGATTTGAAATGGATGAATTTAAGAACTCCTACATTTTTATTACCTGGAAGCCGACTCTTCTGAACAATAGTTAAAAGAAATTTTTTTTCACTTTTAAAGTCTTTAATGTTCCTCATTTGTAAAACATTTTTTGTAATACAATTTTAATTATTTTTGCTGACAAGGAAAATGTTTAAATTTTAATTGAGCTATTACTCATTACAATAATTTTTTATTGAATTTTTTATCACTATTGAAAAATGTTAGAAAAATTTACTAAAATTTGATAGTGCATTTTTTGCGAGTGAATGCATGAATCATTACAATAATGATAACAAACAATTTTTATTTTAGTATATGCTTTTTTGTACACATATATACAAAGAAATATATGATTTGTGTAGAAAAGAATTATTATTTTTATTATAATAAAATATTCTCTTTTTTCAAAAATTAGTATAATCTTATTTCTGAGTAAAATAAACAAACATTTTCTCTTTGAAACATATTACGAAGTTTTTAAAAGTTTTATATTTAAATATGCTGGCATAAAATTAAAATTTATATAGAAAGGTACATAATTAAATATTAATAACTTTTCAATTTTCTTATTAAATTTATTTATTTCTAGCAATTTTTATGTATGTAATTGTAAAAAACGTTACGCTTATATATATCTTTACCATCATTGCAGATAATTGCTTGTATTTAATTAATCGCTTACGTTTGAGAGCGATTGTTTTATATCGCTATATCGCATCATTATAATATTTGTAATTAAAGATGATTTGTAATCGTCTTTGTCCAGATATCAGATTCAAAACTTGGCAATAATCTAACACACATTAAAAAATAATAGTAAATTTAAAAAAATATCGAAATCGTCAAATTGCCCATAAATTTTATAGCAATTTCTGGTATAGGTAACACTTGCATTTGATAAGGTGTTTAAAAAAAAAAGTTAAATTAACACTGAACGTTACTAATATTATCCAGAATTATCCACGTAATGTTACATGAATTAATTGGAAGTAGAGTGATGGCTAAGTTCTATTGGATAGTGAAAATACTTTCATATAATCTAGATATGAAGGACAAATTGTTGATACAACAGTATTTTTCAGGAACTTTTATATTTACTTACATCTAGAACTTTTTAAACTTTTATTATAATAAATTATATGTTATTTACATTGCACACGATTTGTGGTTTATACATGTACTTATCGCACAAGTACAAAACACAATTTTGCACATCTATCGATGATATCAAATTAATTTATGTGCACAAACAGATATATGTATGGATAATTATAATTTAATTACAATAATTTTATATGTATAGAACAAAACAAAATTCAAAATAATGTTATGTTGATTTTTTTATTTTTTTTTTTTATACAGTAAGCCCATTGCGTAATAAAGTTTCTAAACATGATATAAATGTGCACAAAAATGATCACATTTTATAATTAAAAATTAGTGTAACAGATACTTTAATACTTATAAGATTGTGTTCAGAGATAAATAGGCTAAACGTTTACTTAGTTCTAGAGTCTATAATAAAATAAGCTTTCTAATAATTATTCATTGATGTTTGAAAAACTATTCTATTATTCACGTTCGAGGTTGGGGAGCTTCTCCTGAGGGTGGTATGGGTATGGGTAAAGGTGGAAGAGTTTGTCTGGTGGACCCGTTGCCGGAAGAAGTGGACCTGGTCTCGGGAGTAGTGTTCCCTAAAGGTGGTAAAGCTGGAAGAGTTTGTCTGGTGGACCCGTTGCCGGAAGAAGTGGACCTGGTCTCGGGAGTAGTGTTCCCTAAAGGTGGTAAAGTTGGAAGAGTTTGTCTGGTGGACCCGTTGCCGGAAGAAGTGGGCCTGGTCTCGGGAGTAGTGTTCCCTAAAGGTGGTAAAGTTGGAAGAGTTTGTCTGGTGGACCCGTTGCCTTCGTTGTTTCCGTTGCCTCCATTGCCTCCGTTGCTTTCGTTGCTTTCGTTGCCTCCGTTGCCTACGTTGCCTACGTTGGCTACGTTGCCTCCGTTGTCTCCGCTGCCTACGTTGCCTCCATTGCCTCCGTTACCTCCGTTGCCTCCATTGCCGGAAGGAAGGGACTTGTTTTCGGTACTAGATTCGTTGCTTCCGTTGCCTCCGTTGCCTCCGTTGCCTCCGTTGCCTTCGTTGCCTCCGTTACCGCCATTGCATTCGTCGTCTCCGTTATCGTCCTTGCAATCAGTAGTAGTGGGTTCGGGCTTGCATTCTTTCGGAGGCTTTTTATCAAGCATGAAATTATTAATATATCCTGACGCTTTCTCATTTTCCTCTTCACAAGGAGGCTTAATTTCTTCTTCAGGTTTACATTCCTTATCTTTCTCCTCAATTTTATCTTCTTCATCTTCTTCCTCAGATTTATCTTTCTCATCTTCCTTCTCAGGTTTACTTTCTTCAACTTTCTCTGTACATTCCTCAATCTCCTTCTCAGTAACTTCCTCAGTACATTCCTCCTCTTCAGTAACTTCCTCAGTACACTCTTCTTCAGAAGCAGGAGCTTCCTCAGATTTATCTTTCTTATCTTCCTTTTCGGGTTTACTTTCTTCAACTTTCTCTGTACATTCCTCAATCTCCTTCTCAGTAACTTCCTCAGTACATTCCTCCTCTTCAGTAACTTCCTCAGTACACTCTTCTTCAGAAGCAGGAGTTTTCTCACATTCGTCTTCATTAGTAGTAGGCATTTTTTTATAATTTAGTTCTGTAATATGAATCAGCATTAATTGTCCGACACAATTTGGTCTTTTTTGACTCATGAATATAAATAGTCGTATTCAATATATTTTTGCCGGCTGAACACGAATCCGTTATTCGAATTTCTATCATGTATAATTTTAAGAAAAATTACGCATACAAATAATCACTATCGTGTATAATTTTAAGAAAAATTATGCCAAAGATGTCAATACACAATTTTAAGAGTAGACGTTATAAGGCAGCAAATTTTTTTTCTAAATTTCGTTAGTATCAAAATCTTTTTATGATGCATTTTACTTCGTTTCAGTATAATTTTTTGTTTTAGAAATACAGTACAATTTAAAAATAGCTTTCTTCCTATATAATACACTAAAAGAGTATTTTATTCCGTCATTTTTTTTTAAATTTAAACATAATAGTCAAATTTGAACAATGAATTTGTGTTCAATAAGCAAATATACACATTATTATTCACACTTGTGTTGCACAATAGTATTCGAGCAACTTTGGTATACCCTTTACTGTATATGTATTTATTAGGTAATCGGAAATATACGTACCTTGTTCTATCATTAGCATGTCTGAAGATGGAGGAGGACGAGCTCCAACATTATTATATGCCAGCGTCATCATTAAGAAAAATGTGATCTAAAAAGGTTAATAGAAATCGTAGTATCTTCCAAGTATTTACAGATTATTATTTGAAAAAGTTGTAAGAACAATCACTGAATAAAAACTTACAATGAATTTTAAGGGAGCCATTTTTTACAGGATCTTTTTCAGGTTTTTTTTGATTTTATGATACAAATAGATGATTAAAAAGAAATAGAATGAGAGAGAAATTATAATATATTACTTTATCTTAATTCTAACTGTATACGTGTCTTGGTTTTTTAAATAATATAACTAATTTAAATAATATGTATATCTTTCTGATATATGTCAGAGAGGCTGTCAATATAAAATGTAAAGAGAAACGAATATTTACTATTGTTCAGTTGGTAAAAACTACATATATATACTGTTGCTATCATACTAATTATATATATATATATAAAATATATAAGATAATTATATACATTATCTTACGTAAATATAATGTAAACTGTATGTAAATGTAGAATATCCTATATCTAAATTGCTAGAAAATTATATGTACTTATTCAACTTTGAGTATAGAGGAGTTCTCAAGGTCAACTTAAAAATTTTTTATGGAAGTTTCCACTTTTTATCTTTTTATTCTAGCTAACATTGAGATCTTTTCAAAACATTACAATGCTAATTAACTCTTTTTGGTCAAGTTTTTTTCGAGATATGTCAAATTTCAAGTATCGCCAGCATTAGCATTATCCAATTTGGTCGACCTTGGTTCGGCTAAAATCTCTTATAAATGTTGTTTAGAGACATGACCTTAATAAAATTTCTTGAAGTCCAAAACCATTGCAGATTGTTGTTTTGAATTTTATTTTTATGTGAAAAAATAGAGCAAAATTATAACACAAAATTATAATATGTATATATGTTTTTACAAACAATATACATATTTATCTAATAGCTAAGAATACTAGAGATTGCTAGCTCATAAATAAATACTTATTGTATGTTATGTTGTAAGAGAACTATCTATATATATATATATATATATATATATATATGATAGCATATAGGCTATACAAAATTTTCGAAATCTAAATTACTAGAGAATTATATATACGAGTTATCGCATGATAAGTAATTTTTATCTCTCTTTTGTTTGTGCATATGTGAAAAATAATCTATTTTATTCAAAAAAATTCGAGAAATAGGAGAGGTGGAGTTCATTAGCACAAGAGGCATTGCGTTTTATTTATGTATTTAAAAAGAGAGAAACAATGGAAAAGTTAAAGAAAAACATTTTTCTTTATAACATAAGTACTTTTTCCTAAGTTTTTAATTAGATCAAACAAATATTACAATAAAAAAGAAATATTTGATTCAAGTGAAAATAAATAGATTTTTAAATGTATATAATTTTATATTAATATTGTTCAGGTTGAGAAAATAAATTTAACATGAATGTCGTATTGTTAGTCAAAAGAGGAATTATAATACTTTAATTAAAAGAATGGCTATGATATAGCATGTTACTATACGATATACTATTTTGAGTAATAACAATAATTTGTTATTCATAATAAAGATAGAACTGTTTCTTTTACTGTTACTGTCTATAATGATTTAGTAATGAACGTTGTAATTTATTGTAACGTTTACGATAACTAACTAAAAGATTGAGAAAATTATTTTGAAATGCAACTTGTTATTTACAGCATTACTTATTGAAAAAAATAACTCATTATTTGTAACGCGTTGTAACTTATTTAATTCGTTATAAGTAATGAATTTATTTTATTCAATAGAAATTATTTTTATTCAATAGACGCACAATGGACAAGTTACTTTTCAAAAATGACTTTTCCCTAATCTTAACTTTCAGTTAAAAATATCATTACCATCATAAAAAATTACAAGGCATTACCAAATCATTATTATAAACAGTAACTATAAGCGGTGCGTTATTTACTATTTCCTATTCCTATTAGTAAAATGAAATTTTACGTACGTTGGGATACATTGGCTTGTTTTAAGAACAATTTAAGAAAAACTTAGTTTGACTTACTATTATATCATACGCCACGCGTGTGAATATTGAATTACAACTTAACTGGACGAAACGCTTTATGTTTAATATTTTTATATTAAAGTAAGCTACAACTAAAATAATTTAAATTTTTTTTGTAATAATATTTTGCTATTTGATCATTACAAAATATCATTACAAAACTTCAAAAGATATAATCATTAATAAGAATACATGTGTGCAGTCTGTTTTTTTTATATCTATTACATTTTTATTAATTTAATGTAGAATTTATTGTATAGCAACTTACGTCGTGATATTAATTTACATCACTATCAGGATAAGTTGACTATAAGCCTGTCAGTTTATTTATTGCAAAAAACTATACAATACTATACAGTTAGAATCGTTTCTGGTATGAAAATATAGAGAAATATTTTTTTTATCATATTAATACATTTTAATCATAATAATTACAATACTTTAAAAAATTTAATGCCAAAATTGTGAAAACTATCAACAAGTTCCGATTTACAATATATATTGTTTTAATAATATATACCTTATTAAATAAATTAAAATATTACAATTATTTCTCATTGAAACATATTATGAAGTGTTCTTTTCTTAAAAGTTTGATATTAAAATTATTCTCACATAATCAAATTTTATAATATAAAGTGAAATATTAAATTTTAATAATTTTTTAAATTTTTTAATCAATTTTATTTTTAGAAATTTCTATCTAATTTCTTATATACGTTGCGTTGCATCTATTTTTGTCATCATTGCGGTTAACTACTTGTAATTAATTATTATTTAACAGTTTAGCGTTTGATGGCGATTGTTTTCCATGCCATTGCTATTATTACCATCTGCAATTGTAAATCATCTTTGCCCGGATGTCAGATTCAAAACATGATAATAATTTAAGCAATTTAAGATAAAGACGAAATAATACCGAGAGAATAGCTTCCAATACAAAACCACTAATAAATTTTACAGCGTTATCTGAATAAATTGTAGGTAACTCCTATATTCGAGCTTTGATAATATTTAATGGAAAGACATTGAACTGCTCGAAAATTAGCACAGAATATTGTTAATATTATCCAGAATTATTGATGCAACGATATATATAGATTAGTTTAAATGAAAGTAACTATAATCAATTATAATCTGATCGAACGTGTTTTCCAATTTTGTTTCAATTGATTACTTTTTCATCATAATTTTGAATAAAAATAACACATAACGAATAAATTATTCATCATTCGCCTAATTCGAATATATTAAATAATCTACTTTATTTATTATTTTTTATTTCTTATGGAAAATTTTGCTCAACACTCATATCAAAAATATCATTATCTTACGTAAGCATAATGCAGAATAATTCTAAATATGTATAAAATACTCGATATCTAAATTATTAGAAAATTATATGTATGGGTTATGCAAGATAAACAATTTTTATCTTAAATGCACACTTTTTTGTGTGACACGACAAAAAAATGTTTAATTGTGCAAAAAATTCAAGAACTTTATATGTTTTTAAAATGCATACTTCTTGCCTTATTTTTGAGCAAACTAAATAAATGTTAGAAATAGAATTATCGTTCGTTGAAGTATATTATATACGAAGTTTTTAAAGTTTTATGTTTAAATATTTTGGCACATAAAATTTTACATAAAAATATTATTAAATTTTTATGTTTTTTTTAAATTTTCTTAATAACTTTTTTCCCTTAAATTTTGTTCCAATTTTAATTCTGAGGAAATGTTATTAATTAATGCAAAAAAGAAAGAAAAAACGTATTATTAAATTCAATTTTGGAATGAAATGGATATGTTATTTAATAAAACTTTTTTCATATAATTATATATTTTATTACTTTCTATACTCATCTCAGCAATCATAGTTTCTTCTGATATTTCTTACATATTTTTTTCTAAACATATAGCATGTGATTCGTCATTTTTCTCTTTTTGTAAAAGTTGTATTTATATGGACCACCTGACCATGAATAGCTCAGTGATCTCTCTATTTACACATTAAAGTTACGTATCATAGTTTAAGGTTAAACAGTTTGCATTGCGCTTATTTTTGTCATTATCGTGCTAACTGCCTGTATTTAACTGCAATTAGCGCATATCATTTGATGATGTCTATTTTATGTGATCACCGCTATTATTATCGCCATTAGTTGTAATCACCTTGCTTGGATATCACCCAAATAACAGCAGCGCTTGCAAAACGCTAAAAAAGCGAATGAGCTTTTTTAACACTTTGTTAATGCTTTGTGAGTGCTATGTACTTGAGTAGACTCAAAATACAATAATAATTTAAGCCAATTTAAAAGTGTAGCTGAAAAAATATTAAAGACGTAGTTTTCGAAGCTACCAATAAATTTTATTAGCGATTTTCAGGATACCTTACAGAAAACTTCTGCATTCAATAAAGTATTTAATGAAAAGTTATTGAACTACCTGGAAATTAACATAGAATATTATTCAGAACTAATATTATCGGCCAGAATTATTAATGCAACGCGTGGTGTAAACTAATTTAATGGACAGTACAGTCATGAACGATCGATTCTGATTCGATCAAAATGAAAAGGATAAAAATATTCTTGTAGTCTAGATTTAAAGGATAAATTGTAGATATAACAATTTTTTAAGAAACTTTTGTAATTAATGCGGATGTAGATTTAATTTTTGCTTTTACCATGATAAATTGGACGTTATTTACACAGCTTACGATCTATGGTTTGTATTGCATACATATGAACGCAATATTGCATATTGACATATATGTTACTTAAGTAATTATATAAGTTAATAATACAATTTTATTATATGTAATTTTATTATATGTATGTGGAAAAAAATACATTTCAAAACGATATTATACTGATTAATCTTTTACTTTAGTTTTACAATTAGTCCTAATACCTAGTAAAGTTATGCTCCCAAATATGTTTTAATGTGTGTGTGTGTGTGTGTGTGTGTGTGTGTGTGTGTGTGTGTGTGTATGTGTGTAAGAGCACAAAAATATTTTATAATTAGTGCACAACCCCTTATTTTAATATTTATCTATAAAAGCATTAAAATATTATCTATAATAGTATTAAATAGTATCAGCATATGTATTAAAATATAAAAATATTATAATACTTATTCATAAAAATTTTAAAA